GCGGAAGTAAAAACGGAGGGTGAAATAGAAACAGAGACATTTTTACAAATAGAAGGTTTTAATCTGGAACAGTTTAAAGCATCTTTGGAGGAATCTATTAAACAAGCATTTGCTTTAGCAGCAATATCAACGTTTAAAAGTGTATTCGGAGATCAACAGGCTCCACGGGAGGAGATAGATAATAAAGAGGGACTGGAACGAGATTCGCCTGTGTTAAAACCACAAGATCTGGACCAGGAGAGGGAGCCCTTAGTTAACCAAGCCTTATACGCAGAGGATGTACTGCAGGATCATGAACTTCTTGTTGGGAGTCAACCAAAAAACGGCATAGTCCGAGACTTAAAACACAACAAAAAACCCGATTTGCCAAAAAGGGATTAATTAAGGAAAAAAGAGGGCTAAGGAAAGTGAGATGGGACTTTAAATATTACATAAGAACAAAGACTCTCGTAAAGAAGGGGAAACATCAGAGTCAAGAATTAAAGCGACATGAACGGAAAAAGTTTAGGAGCTTAAAGACAGCCCAGAAGGAACAATGGAGAAAAGGACATACCTTAACTTGCCAGGGGAAACTTAAAAGATTTAAGAAAAACTTTAGGTACAATAAAAGATTGACGATCTATCTGTGGGAAGGGACCTGGCAAAGTTTGGTCTTAAGACAATTGGAATTTAAGAACTTCCGGCATTTGAAAGAAGTAGAAAGAGAAGAAGAAGAATTAGAGAAAGGAAGGGGAGGTAGGAGAAAAGGGATGTATCTGCCTTTGATAGCCATATGTGGTATTAGGGTATGGTAAGAATGGAAAGATGAATTAGGAGTAATGTAACAATATGTAACAATATGTAATACTATAACCAATCAGTAGTGTAGAATTGTTAAAGTTGAACTACTATTCGAGGCAATTGTTTTGCATAAAGAATAAGTTTGAAATTGAGATGGAATGTAGTAATATGAAATATTAAAACCAATTAGGAATGTGTAACTGTTAAAGTTGAATTATTATATGGGAAAAATTGTCTGTACAAGTATTGGTTGGGAACTGGAAGATAATTGAGATCTGTAGTAATTTGATTTAAAAGTAATCCTCATAGAGGAGGGGGAAGATTATAATAAAACAGTCCTGTTATTGTGGTAAGAACTAAGTGGAACCAGGAAGGTGTACTTCTAGGTATAAAATAATATTTTGCAATGCTATATAAGGATACTTTATCATTAAGGGAAACTGTGGTTGAAATAGGGTAGAGAGCGTGGTCTGATAACAATAAGTTGGACAAAGGATCAATATCTATGAATTTAATAGAAACTAAGATGAAGTGTTTTGCAGAAAGCAAGAAGGGGAGATAGGAAGAACTAGTTGTTAAAATGGTTGGATTTTGACCAAGTGTAAGTAGAATGGAAATATGGTATAAAATAGTTATAGGATGCGCTACTAGAAAATGTAACGAAGAAGTGGTAAACTAAAAGAATGATATTTATTGTATAATGCTACAAGGTACCAAAGATATGTATACCTACATATGATGTATATGTGTGATGTATGTCTGTTTGTTTGTTTGTTCTTTGATATGTGTTGAAATCAATAAATAGATTATTAAAAAAAAAAGAAAGACAAAAGTAAATGGACAATAGAAATCTGGTACAACTATTTGTTTGATTTTATACAGTCAGACATTGTGGAATCAATTAACAAGGGAATAACATGGGAAGAAAAATCCACAGAAATCAAGACCAGATGGAAGCAGGGGTCTTTTGGGGCCGGAGCGTGCCGGAGCGCTGCTCCGGGAGCCCAGGAGCTGGCAAAATGGCGGGCGGTAGCAAGCCCCACCCCCAGCTTCCCCCGCTACGGCCTGTCACCAGCCTCCCCGGGCCAGCACCGGAGCGCTGCAGCCTGGAGGAGGCCAGACGAGCCCCCCCGCCGCCGCTTCCTCTGGCC